TTTTTTTTTTTTCTCATTCAATACAATTTTTTTTTCAGTTTTTCAAAGTATGATGTTGGTATTTTAATGGATATTGCATTGAAAATGTAGATTACTTTGGGTAGTATGAACATTTTAACAATGTTGATTCTCCCCATCCAAGAGCATGGTATGTTCTCCATTTGTTTGTTTTCTTTTTGTTTGTGTTTTTTTTTTTTTTTTGTTAAAAATCAGACTGTCCCACCAAAAGCGGGACTTCTGGTCACCTTAATATGCCAGATGCTTAGGCTAACCCAGCTTGGCAGTCAGTCTGGATGCCATGTATTTTATCTGATGCAGGAGTTGTGCCTCAATAATCCAGTAGCTACCCTAATTAAAAAGGTGGCTGCGTGAAAGGCATGGCCTCCAGGAATTGAACTGCAGCACCAGGACCACCCGAGGTGGTTGCTGAGCCTGGGACAGAGAGCCAGCACCCTGCACACAAGTGGTCCCCTTAAAGCCAGGCCAGGCTGGACTCAAGCTGCCATCTTGCAGCTCAGGGCCTTCGCATTCTCTCCACAACCATGGGCCTCACTGAAGTAGGGTAGCCAGAAGCCAGGCTACAGTATTTGCCAGACAGCCAGGTCCATTGTCGACCAGATGCCAGGCCCAGGAGCCTGTGCACCCCTCCTCACAAAGGAGGCCCCAGTTACAAGTTACCAGCTGCATGCCTTGTGTCCCCAGTTCCACTGCCAGGGGATAGTCCCCTCCAGAAATCCAGTGGGTCTTGGGACCACCACTACTGGAGGCCCTGGGAGGGGGTGGAGGAGGCATTCTAAATGTGCCTAATCCCCCAGGGATTCTGTGTGCAGGCTTGGTCCCTGGGTCACCATGCTCCCCTTGCACTCATGTCTTCTATGCTAGCTTCCCTCCCTTCTTTTCCTCTCTGCTTCTGGTGTTCTATGCCATCCTTTTGTGTGTACACAATGACCATCCAAATGAGGGTGGCCAGTCTCTCCTTTTCCTGATCTTACCTGAAGGGGCTGGTGAGATGTCTCTAAACTGCCATCTTGGACCCACTCAAATAATATTTTCCTTAATCATAGAGATCCTTAACTTTTCTGAAGTTTTGTATAAACTTTAGAGGAGCAGACCATGAGAGTGATATTTTGGTGAAAAGAACACTTAATTCTACTCATGTGAATTGTAAGCAATTCCATCCCCACCTGATTATGATTTTCTTTTTCATACTTCATTGAATTTGACCTTCCATACTAATCATAATAAAGAACAATACTAAACAATCCAGTTATAGACTCTTTTCCTTCAAAGTGTTACGTAAGCATCCACCTCTCCCTCACTCTTGCTCACCGCAACTCACCTCCTAACCATATGCTGGATGTCACTTCTGGGCTCTGGTCAGTGAGTTGGACAGAACATGATATGCTCCCCAAATTTTCTTGGAGTGTAAGAGAAGTCTCCACATCAAACAGGCCATGCCTGTCCACATTCACCTTGGAGTCTGAGGGTATATCATGTCCCTGTGGACCTTTCCACTTCACTGTGGGCTGGGAGAACCACCCTGAGGACTGGCAGAGTAGCCGGATACCTCCATCAACAAAACCAGTGAGCGAAATGAGAGGAGCTGAGCCCATTTCTGGGGAGAAAAGAGAAAAGGGGTGTAAACAAAGAGTGTATCCCAAAGCCACAGCTGTACAAAGCCAAGTTCATCAAGTCCATCAATGTACTTGCCCCCTCTCCCTCCCTCTTTCTCTTTCTCCTCTCTCTTTCTCTCACACACACTTATAACACTTCTTTAAGCCCTTCCACATACTTAATTTATTTAACATTCATTTTACAACACTAATATACACAAGTATTTCTAAGCACTAAATATGATGAAGAACATAAGACAGTACCCCTTCTAAGAAGTAACTTGCTAACTAAACAGGATGACAATTGTGAACATATGTATTTTTTTTGTTAAAAGGGCAACCATGTGAGCATGGTCAAGTTAGCACTTAGAAGAGGATGATTAAATGTAGGAAAATTCATGGCTTCCTGGAAGTGATCTTTGCACCCTGCTGCATCACATGAATAGAGGCATTGTGCGTGAATAAGTGGAGAACAGGGGTAGTATTCCAGCAGAGGAGTAAGTACCTACCCTAATGTAGGAAATGGACATTCCATAGTGTTTTCAAGGACCTATTAGCATTTAATATTTCTGGACTACAAGAGGAAAAGGGTGCAAGATGAGGTTTGAGTCTGGCACAAAATTATACTATACAGTGAGTGCATGGACCCAAGAAATGTGGACCATAGTCTGTAAGCACAGTCAATATGGCACCTTGTAGGGCTGCTGACTACTTTCCATTAGGTGGGAGTTAAGATTTTAGCAAGATCACCTCGAAGGCCATGGAATAGGGGTCAAGGAAGTCTTAAAAAGAAGAAGAGATGGGTGGCACCTGTGGCTCAAAGGAGTAGGGCGCTGGCTCCATATGCCAAAGCTGGTGGGTTCAAACCTAGCCCTGGCCAAAAACCACCAAAAAAAAAAAAAAAAAAAAAAAATAAAGAAAAAAGAAAAGAAGAGACAGCCAGACAGTGATGTTACTCAGATAAGAGAAGAGAAGGGTTAGGGAAGAGGAAGGTTATAAGAAAGGAGAGACCAATGCAGGAATTATTTGGGAGTTTGACTTAGCAGAACTATCTGGAGTCTAAGGAGAGCTTAGCCTAATCTCCATGTATGAACTAGGAGAGGAAAGTGAGCATTCCTTATCGAGGCAACATGTATCTAATAACTTGTTATTATCCATGTTCCCACTCCAAATAGAACTTTCCACATGGAGAGCTTTCCACGTGCCATCCTACACCAGTCCCTAGGTCTTGATTACTTCATGAAGCCTTATGAATATTTGTTGAGTGAAGAATGATATAAGTTCTAAGAAAAGGTCCATGTCAGATGGAGGCAGAGTCATCTCTCCCTGCTCCTCTATCTAAGTAAAATTATAAACCCTGTATATAACAGAGGACACCATAGAGGAACTCTGAAAGGGGGAAAGAGTAGGGTAGAATGCCTAGGGACCGAGGACTGAAGAAACAACACAGCAGGGGAGCACCTTAACTTCCACCCCCTACCCAGCAACAGAAGTTGGCCCAGGTAGTCTCCCTGCTTCCCAGATCACTGACAGTAGGTGGACTTACTGTTACTCACAAAGGATTGATCAGGAACCCCACTGACAGGAAAACAAGGAAGCACGTTTTCTCCTTATAGGCCAGAGTCTCCCCTCTCTCACTAGGCGATACCAGGGAGTCTGACCTGGAGTAGCTAGCTCTATTCTCACGGTCAGCATTAGAGGGATCAGTAGGAACTATAGGATTGGCACAAACATTAAGCATACCAAAATATCATAGCAAAGGTTCTAAAACTGAATACCCTTTGTAATCACACCTATAAAAGTAGACCTGTAAGGAATTCTGGGAAGATGGCCGACTGGTAGCAACCCTGGTCAAAGGCTCCTGAGCAAAGAAAGAAAAACTGGTTGGAATCAGAATATATGAAGCCAAAGATGGGGATCTGAGCCCAGAAAGAAGTCCGGCAAGCTGTAAATCCAAGGAAGATCATTTAAGAACACAAAATACAGGTACAAAGCGAGCTCCAGAAATGCTTGCTAGAGCCGCCTGCCTCCTTCAGGTGGTGGGTGGCCACAGAGAAGTCCCCTGCACCGGGAAGGCACAGAACTACTTGGTAGAGCCTTGCACACCCCCCACAGGTGGCAGCGGACGAGTCCCCCACTCTGGGAGGACCCAAAACTGCTTGCTAGAGCCACACACCCCATGGGCAGCAGAGTAGATCCCTGCTCCAGGGCTCTGGATGGGCACAGAACTACTTGCTAGAGCCGCACACCTCCTGCGGGCTGAGGGTGGCTGCAGAGGACTTCCCCTGCTACGGGCAGCCACAGAACTACTTGTTAGAGCCTTGCGCACCCTGTGGGAGGTGGCAGAGGAATCCACCACTCTGGGAGGACCCAGAACTGCTTGCTAGAGCTGCGCACTCCATGGGCAGCTGAGGGAAGCCCCGCTCCAGGGCTCTGGCTGGTCCCAGAACTGACTGCTAGTGCCACGGGTGTCCTGTGGGCAGTGGCAGAGGAGTCCTCCATTCCAGGCAGACCCTAAACAGCTTTCTAGAGACACACACACCCCACAGGGACCAGCAGAGGAATTCACTGCTCCAGGCACCTGTGCTGGGTGGGCCCAGAACTGCTTGCTAGAGCCATGCGTGCCCTGCAGGAGGCAGTGGAGGAGTCTAGCGCTCTGGGTGGGCCAAGAACTATTAGTTAGAGCCACGTGTGTTCCACAGACAGAGAGGGAGGAGTTCCCCACTCCTGGCTCCCATGCTGGGAGGGAATAGATTGGCTTGCTAGTGCCATATGCATCCAAGAGGCCACGGCAAAGGAGTCCTCCACTCCCCCCGGCTACTCTGGTGGGGCGAAACTAAGACTGATCCGGTGGATTGCGTAACGTACACTACCGCTGCCATTCACCCACCCAGTGGCTGCTCCAGGGTGCTGAACTAGGACTGATCCAGCTACTATAGGTCTCCTGTCCTCTGGTTGCCCCAGTTGGCTGAAGAAGGTCTAATCTGGCCATGCACACTCCCATGTAGCTGCTGCCATTCCACTGCACCCTACCTGCCCCAGCACCAGAGAACTGAGAGTAGACAACAGATATGCTCTGCCTCTCTCTCTGGGCAACCAGAAGAAGCCACCAACTGAACAGTTCTGATGAGGCCTCCAAACAAGGTAAACTCAGAATGGGGCAGAATCAGTGGAAAAACTCTGGCAACTTGAATAACCAGAATAGATCAACCCCCCCCAAGGGAAAATGGGGCAGATGTAATTGAAGACCCCCTCCACAAGCAAATGGCTGAAATGTCAGAAATCGAGTCCAGAACGTGCATAGCAAATAAGATTAACAGAATGGAAGAAAGGAAGGAAGTAGAAGTTCAAGAAATTATGCAAAAGATCTCTCAAGAAATTATTCAAAACATTTCTCAAGAAATTATTAAAAAGATATCTCAAGAAATCATTCAAAAGATGTATCAAGAACTCAACAATTTCAAAGATAAAATGATCAAAGATTTTGAAACACTGAGACAAGAGGT